AGGATCACTCCTACCCCATTTCTCTTCCTGTCCACACCATAATAAAACAGTTTGTATCCCCCTCCAATGCTACGCACTTTGCTACCCTTCCACCTGATCTCCTGCACACACAGTATATCTACCTTCCTTCTCTCCATTATGTCCGCCAGCTCTCTACCTTTCCCTGTCATTGTGCCATCGTTAAGAGTCCCTATTCTCAGACCTATACTCCTGCCTTTCCTCTTCTCTCTCTTGTCTACGAATTCTTCTGCCTCCTCTCCTTCTTTGACCAAAAGTAGTCCGATTCCCGCCAGCACCCTATAGGTCAACAGCACTGGTGGCGGTCGTTGTTAACCCGGGCCTCGACCGATCCGGTATGGAATTCACACTGATGATTCGCATGTTTAAATTTGGCATGTTTTTACACCGGATGCCCTACCTGACACAACCCTCACTATTTATCCAGGCTTGGGACCAGCACAGAAGTCACTGGCTTGCAACCCCCTCATTAAAATGCTTAATTGATTCAAAGCCAAGTCTCACAGCTTAAGCTTTCTAGCTAATATTTGACCAGCCAGTAAGCTAGATAACAGCTGAAATGACACATTCACTTACTTAACCTTGCTTTGTGAGTTTTGTAGTGACTAATGAAGTTGGATGCTGTGGTGGTTGTGATGTTTGCGCCGCAGACTTTGCATACTTGTCCTCTTCTTGCCGTCATTGACAGCATAATTCTTGAATCCAAATTTTATTATTTTTGAACTAGCCCTCTCCATGATAGCTGCATCCTGTGACCGGCGTTGTCCTGTGCAGGTCTGCTGCATTCTGGTAGGTTGCCAGGTTTGTGCATATTGCACTAGAAATCACCCAACAGTGTTTCAAAAACATAACATAACTTCTCAGTTTCTGGAAAAATGCTTCTGTCTCAAGTTTAAGTCAAGTCTCAAGTCATGAATACCAAGTCAAAGTCAAGCCGAGTCTTTTACCACTGTTGGTCAAGCAACTCTCAAGTCCTTAAATTTGCAACTTAAGTCTGACTCGAGTCAAGTCATGTGGCCACATCCCCCCACCCCTGTTGGCTTATATTTAACAGACAGGTATGAGAGTAATATCAATCTCGTGTATTTCACAAAATGTTGAGCTGTTCCTTTATACATAACATTTAGCCTGGGTTTGTTTATAGGTGACTTACATCACGTATAAAATAAGATACAAATTCAGTCTAAAAGCTTGTTGGATTAGATTCTATCATGGCAAACTTCACTGCGGACTGGAGACTCGCATCTATAAATGCTGAATGAGAAGTGATCAATAGCTGTTGTTCTAGGCGGAGGGGCAGGTATCAGAAGACAACGTAACCACGTCACTAATCTCCAGGCCGCAGGCTCCTCCTTCTCAACCTTGATCAATAAACCTTTCTACTCCCACAAATAAAAAATCTCAAATCTTAGCTCAACAAAGACACGTAAAGGTAGGACCACAGAACAATCAGCACACACTGTCAACAATCACCCACACCTGCTATTCACCCTGTTACTGAAATATTCTTTGTTTCTTATGATCCCACCAAACTAATATTCACACAATCATGTACTGTAAATATGAAACCTTTTGTTTTCCTAAGCCAATTTCAGTTTGTGATCTCTTTACCTCAGATAAGTCAGCTCCGATAATAATAGATTTTTATTTTATTGTGTTGGATAGCTGACTGACAGCACACTGTACAGTCTGGGGTCAATCAGTGGCAGTGGCTAAGACAATCAAAAAGGTTGTACAGTACAGGGAGTGTACTGTACACCATATCTACTGAATGATGTGTTCCAGGTCTAGCATGGACCTAGAATTGACCCCTGAGGCATACCATACTTAAAGATATACATAGTTATTTATAGATATACAGTGCCTTGCGAAAGTATTCGGCCCCCTTGACCTTTGCGACCTTTTGCCACATTTCAGGCTTCAAATAAAGATATAAAACTGTAATTTTTTGTGAAGAATCAACAACAAGTGGGACACAATCATGAAGTGGAACGAAATTTATTGGATATTTCAAACTTTTTTAACAAATAAAAAACTGAATAATTGGGCGTGCAAAATTATTCAGCCCCTTTACTTTCAGTGCAGCAAACTCTCTCCAGAAGTTCAGTGAGGATCTCTGAATGATCCAATGTTGACCTAAATGACTAATGATGATAAATAGAATCCACCTGTGTGTAATCAAGTCTCCGTATAAATGCACCTGCACTGTGATAGTCTCAGAGGTCCGTTTAAAGTGCAGAGAGCATCATGAAGAACAAGGAACACACCAGGCAGGTCCGAGATACTGTTGTGGAGAAGTTTAAAGCCGGATTTGGATACAAAAAGATTTCCCAAGCTTTAAACATCCCAAGGAGCACTGTGCAAGCGATAATATTGAAATGGAAGGAGTATCAGACCACTGCAAATCTACCAAGACCTGGCCGTCCCTCTAAACTTTCAGCTCATACAAGGAGAAGACTGATCAGAGATGCAGCCAAGAGGCCCATGATCACTCTGGATGAACTGCAGAGATCTACAGCTGAGGTGGGAGACTCTGTCCATAGGACAACAATCAGTCGTATACTGCACAAATCTGGCCTTTATGGAAGAGTGGCAAGAAGAAAGCCATTTCTTAAAGATATCCATAAAAAGTGTCGTTTAAAGTTTGCCACAAGCCACCTGGGAGACACACCAAACATGTGGAAGAAGGTGCTCTGGTCAGATGAAACCAAAATCGAACTTTTTGGCAACAATGCAAAATGTTATGTTTGGCGTAAAAGCAACACAGCTCATCACCCTGAACACACCATCCCCACTGTCAAACATGGTGGTGGCAGCATCGTGGTTTGGGCCTGCTTTTCTTCAGCAGGGACAGGGAAGATGGTTAAAATTGATGGGAAGATGGATGGAGCCAAATACAGGACCATTCTGGAAGGAAACCTGATGGAGTCTGCAAAAGACCTGAGACTGGGATGGAGATTTGTCTTCCAACAAGACAATGATCCAAAACATAAAGCAAAATCTACAATGGAATGGTTCACAAATAAACATATCCAGGTGTTAGAATGGCCAAGTCAAAGTCCAGACCTGAATCTAATCGAGAATCTGTGGAAAGAACTGAAAACTGCTGTTCACAAACGCTCTCTATCCAACCTCACTGAGCTCGAGCTGTTTTGCAAGGAGGAATGGGCAAAAATTTCCGTCTCTCGATGTGCAAAACTGATAGAGACATACCCCAAGCGCCTTACAGCTGTAATCGCAGCAAAAGGTGGCGCTACAAAGTATTAACTTAAGGGGGCTGAATAATTTTGCACGCCCAATTTTTCAGTTTTTTATTTGTTAGAAAAGTTTGAAATATCCAATAAATTTTGTTCCACTTCATGATTGTGTCCCACTTGTTGTTGATTCTTCACAAAAAATTACAGTTTTATATCTTTATGTTTGAAGCCTGAAATGTGGCAAAAGGTCGCAAAGTTCAAGGGGGCCGAATACTTTCGCAAGGCACTGTATGTGACACATTGTGCTTGAAGGATAAGAGGAAAACCACTTGCTCACCTGTGGTCTTGGTCTTTGTCATTTAAAATGGTGTGGTCAAGTATGTCCACTTAAGTCAGTTCTAGTGAAATCTCAACCTAAACTTTGTAGACAAACAATACTTCTGTCTGAAATCTATAAAACTGTTGAATTAAAATGCCTCTTTTGATAGGGCTCTTCGGACTGCCACGATGAGAGCCTGGATGCACCTTCTGTCATCAGAGAAACCCAGTTTTAAACACTCACCCATACACTAACACACTAACAGCCTAAAAAAAAAAAACCAAAGTCTCTTTCCTGTTACTGTGGAACATGCTGAGATAGAATATCACAGTCAGGAATCCTTTAGACCCTTTTCCCTTTCATGAAGAGTCCAATGTACAATTTTGTATTGACTGCTTATTAAAAAAGCTAAAATTGAAGGATTAAATTTGATATTTAATGCACAATTTTAAGCACAAATTGTGTTTATTGCTAATTTGTATAAGCATAAATTAAATGTTTTAAATTTGCAAAAAGACAAATATCTTTGTGTCTGTCAGTATTTTAATAGTGAACAGTTGATTGTTTACAGTAGAGATAGGTATATTTGCCAAAATGATTTGCCACTAATTGTGGTACTGCATTGAGTTAGCCACGTGAATACAGTGTCCACGTTTTTTGACATTTTTTTGAAATTAAGTAAAATATATGCAGCATAAGGCTTTGTGATTCATGGCAGTCTGTGATAAGGTATACAACACTGATAATACACAGTTGTATATTATTTGTAACACTATCCATGTGTAATATTACATAAAGCTCTTCTATAAAATTTATTTTCTTAATGTTGTGTCATGTTGTACATTCTTGTCTTATATCTCACGGTGAATTTAGCTGACTGAAAGGCAGAGAACACAAAGTAAAACCCAGCAAGTCCAGGCGAACCAAGCCCAAAACAAATCAGGGATCACAGACATATGCGGGTATTGTTCATTATCACAATACAGATGACTCAGACTGTGATGTCAGGCATGTTTAAAGATACATGTATTGTGTTTCCTTTAAGAGGTAAAATTAAGCCATACATTCACACACAGCGATTATACTGTATCTCTGTCTCAAGTCCCACTTGAGATGTTGATCAGACAGTGAAGTTCGGTGCAGGGTTGGTAGGAGCTGATACACTGTAACATATTTTGTTCTGTGATGAAGTAAACCAGCACACAGATGTGGATAATGTTTGAGTCACATTAAGTGATACTGAATCGGTGGATACAATGATAAAAGAAAATCAAAACAGAAAATGTAAGGAAATGCAAAAGCATGATGTTTTGCATCCTACATCCTTTGTCAGATACAACAGTGCTTCAAATAACGCTTGTGTGTCAAAGGTTGAAGAGAGAAACAATGTGACATACCTCAGTTTGCAGTGTAATGACAACTTTTCATTCCAGTGGACTGTATAAATAAGACAGCAATTTTTTTTGTTTATTTAAGTAAATAACTAAATAACTAGAGAACTGTGATACCTCTCTTGGTCATGTGGTGGCAGCATCGTTACACAACAACAGCAGCGACTCCTCAAATAAGAAGGCCCAGGCGCATGCGAGAGGGTTATACAAAGTATACTGTGGATTTAATTTATGTTCTCAGTTACCCATTAACTGTTTATATTGTGATTGAATCACGTTTAAAAATAGTCTGAAAAAAGCAGAAAGCTACAGGTCTGAAGTGCTGGTATGAATAAAAGGCTACATTAAACTTCTCAGTGGATAAAGAGATAAAGTTGCATCCGAGCAGCTCGGTCATGAGATCATCCTGATTTCAGGCCAGTTCTCAATTGAAGCAGTTCCCACTTGACTGATTGTCTGATGATATCATTGTTCTCTAATTAGCAAATGACTGAACCTTGGCACAGATTAGTTGCTTAAGTTTTCCTGTTGCTACAAGTTCATCACATATTTTATATCTGTACAAAATAGTATTCATAGGTAATATTTCAGTGTTTATATAGGCAAAGTTCCTCAATATATTCTATCAACTTGAGTTATATTTGCTGCCAGTAATGCAGCAGCAAATGAAAAGTTACTTTTATTTTAACACTTTTGACTCTACAGGATGGAAAAATGCAAGCAAGCAGGGGAGAGAAAAGTTTCTATTTGGCTTTATAAAGAAAGTAAAAGGCTGACATCATACACTATGTCATTTGTTGTGTCAACACTGTTTATACTGTAGACCACAGAGAAGAGTTTCCTTCTTTTATGAGTGTTAATGATATGGAATTTATGAACAGTAGACAGGAAGGTTACAAAAGGACAAGGACGAGCAGGGGGAGACCTCAGACCCATGGGGAAACTCCTGATGGCCCTCCCACCGACATGTAGAGATGGATGTTTGAATAAAGCCCCTGTGTACTGTGTATAACATTTCAGAGCTGCTTGGAAGAACTTACTGTACGTGAAAAGGTTAAATCAGTTGGTTCTTACCAAAGGATTTTGCTTGTCTGTTGTCATCTCTTTGGTTGCTTTATGTTTCTGCTATGAAATTGCACAAATGTGTATCAGCATAAAGTTACATCAGGGTATGCAAGAGGTGGAAATGAATGTCGTTAACAGAAATCTCAGGTTATGTGAAATCAAGAGTGCCTCTGTATTTGGTTGTATTCATCCTTCCTTCATTTCTGACCAGTCTCCCTGACCCTGCTCCTGAGAAGCACCCCCATATAATGATGATGCTGCTGCCACTGTGCTTCGCTGTAGGGGTGTTATGAGTAAGCCTGGTTATGGTGGTGCCAGGTGCTCACCAGACATAGTGCTTGGAGTTCTGCTCAGAGGGTTACATTTTTGTTTTATTAGACCACAAAATCTTTTCCTCAAGCTCTGAGTCCTTTAGTGCCAAACTCCAAGCAGGCTGTCATATGCCTGTTATCCATTTAAAATTACATCTACAACACAATAAAGTGTGCCAAGTGAAGGGGTCTGAATACAAGCTTCCATCACTGCCTCTTGATCTCATATGTGACAGAGGTGGGTGTGGGCAACATGAGTAAAATCTTTATGGGATATGGGAATTTACACCATTACATCATGATATTGATACATTGAGTGATATAGTATATTCTCTAGAAATGTTGTTAAAAATACATCCTAATGGTTACAGAAAAGGAGAAATAAATAGTTAATGCATATATGTAAACAATTAAGATGATATGTCACAAGGAGGCAAAGATCCAAAAATGCAATTTAGAAGACGCATACAATTCGGCATTGCTCAGAATTACCTAATTGTTATTTTGATTTTGGGGAATACGAATTAACTTTAACGTGATGTGGCTTTACTTTGAAAACATGGGAAATACTTATGTTTTCATGCCAAGACTAGAGAAAAGTACCTTTTAACTTCATTCAGTAATATGTTATACTGTGTTTGTTTAGCCTACACACACACACACACACACAGAACTGTATAAACAAAAAATCAGTGAAAACTAATTTTTTTTTTTTTCCAGTTTATCATGCTGCCCAGTACTTTTGGGCCGCATCTCTGCCGGTTGCCTGCCAACCTCACATTCATTTCTTTGATTGTGTTGTTGTGGAGTACTTGGCATGAATTGTCTCAGTTGGGGGTGGAACCACTGTGCAGCAGCAGTGCGTAACCAAAGTTAGCTAAAGGAAGCACTATGCACATCTCATTTTTACACAAAAGAAACAGTTAGATCCTTAATAATGTATGGTTTATTATTTCATAGAACTAGGGGTATTTTAAATGTGCCACCCTGGGCCCCAGCCTGGCCACGCGGTCCAAAATTTTCAACATCTGCCCCTGCTCCTGTTAGTAAGTTTCCCATAATTCTAAACTATACATTTAATGTATTGCTGCATCACTCCAAATAGCATCTCCCAGTATAATATATCATCATACCTCCTCCCACAAAATATACAGATATATAGCTTCATGGGATAATAATGTGACAGATTCCCTGTATTGCCAACATTACCACAGGATGGGTGACAGTATACCTCACTCTCATGGCACCAGTGGTGATGTATTCTTCAAGGCTGTTGCATGATGGTAATGTGCGTCATAGCTCTGAGTGTAGCTGATCTAATTTGCCTGCTGCTTCACGGACATTATCAACTACCCACACCACAAACCAAAAATACACCGCTAAAATTATAAACACTATTTTTGGTGTGTCTAGAAGGGTGGGAAGTAAAACTGCATTCTGTAATCAGCTGTATGCTGTTTTTGTCAAATGAAGTTTAGATTGTAGGCCTTCTCACAACTGCTCAGAAACTAGAAAGAAACCATGAACTTTCCAATGACACCGCTGAGTAGCAGCGCAGACATCCATCGGGCTCATAAAGCATGAATTGGAGGGAGAATTGTGGAGAGAGAAGGTTGAAGCCAACAGAGTATGATGCAGTGCCTCCTGTTTGTGTTGCCTGTTCAAGGAGCAGCAGTGATTGATGGTGCTGGCCATTAACAGCACGCAGTAGTAAAGGAGGAGCTGCATGTGCACCCGAGCATAGACATAGGAAAAAAAAAGAGAGCTAGATAAAGCCAAATCATTTTTTACAGATGAGAAAAACATAAATAGAAGCACAAAAAGGCCAGAAGGGCGAGCTGACAAGGAAGATATTAAATAATAAAAAGATCCTGGAAAGGAGGAGATATTAATAGGACTGAAAGTGAAATACAAGTAAGTGCATAGAGTTCGTCATACACAGATGGTCACTCGGTGCATTTGGAGAGGCTGCTGAATGAGCGCCTCATCCATGCACATTTTGGAGAAATACAAGTCACTCGCAGATGGACTGCAGACAAAGGAGGTGCTGCTATGAGTTAAACTGCAAACTGGTTCTGGATATTTAAAACTGGCAGAGAGCCAGCTGAGCTGCGCCTGGTACCGGCATTTCTTTTTCTTCTCCTTCTTCACTTCAGATGGATAATATTTTTCAGACACTCCTCTTTTTCCTCTGTGTGTGTATGTGTGTGTGGCCTCCTCTAGTTGTTAGATAATGGGTTCTTCAAATAGAACATACAAAATCTATATTTGGTTTTCTATTTTGAACATATAGACATAACACTGACTTTGATTATTTGTTAATAACTGGAGCATATAAATGGGTGCAAGTAGGACAGAACATAAAAGAAATCCTCCAGACAATTGGACGGAGACATATGTCATCTGTGGGTGTACAGACTAGTAAAGACTTTACATTTCATCCTGTAAAAAAGGATTTAGCCTCATCAAAGCTATCCTGACATTGATTAAATCTATTTTCGTAGTAGGGCCAGCAACATTCAAACAACAACCCCTCCTCTATAATTATTTTTTAAAAATCCAATAACTTCATCTCACGGTGGGTTTCGTGTGGTTTACCTTGATCACAGCACACAGACCTCTGCCTTAAATTCTGTCACACAAAAAGGGTGTCACAGTGTGTGTTGCGGCTGTGTTGATTAGCCACTCCAGTCAGGAGCTAATTTCTTCCAGTGTTCCCTGAGGCTTGTGTGTTGTTTTAATTTTATCGTTCATAGGGAAAATGGCAGAGCCAGTAAAAAAGGAAAAATTACTTCAATTTTCTTCCACTGCCGTGCTCCTGTTTTGGCTTTCAGTGCCTGCATCGCCTTTTGGAGACTTGACCTTCATTAGAAGATTTAAGTTTGTGGGCATGTGGAGGTGAAGGTGCTACCAAATCCTGCCGCTGTAATGGCCAACAGTGCTGTAGTACATATGAAACATTTTCTATACAGCATTTAGTTCATCACAAGT